GGCCTACGCGCAGCGCAGCCATGGCCGCCGAGACGACCCGCTGCGCGTCTACTGCACCGTGCACTCCCTTGTGGGCGCCGCGTCTCCGTCCATCTTCTTCCCCTGGAGGAACACCTGGCGCACCCATCTGCCCGTCCGCGTCGCCGACATAGGCGCCACCGTGGCCTCCGGCGACCATGTCTGCTACGTCGAGCTCGCGCACATGGGCTACAGGGAGTGCTACTACATCCGCTGCCCCGCGCACCAGCGATGGCTATGCCCACGTGTCCTGCACGGAGTTCCCCGAGGAGCCGGTAGCGTCTGCCGTGTGGGAGCACCGCCTAACGTACCGTGACACCGTCGGCCCCAAGTGCGAGAGGTACCAGTTCGGCGCCTCCGGGCAGTTCTGGGGTCACGATTACAACGCTGACCTCTGATCGCATCCGCATCCGCCATCGTCTCTTTTGGTAGGCAAGTGTTTAGTTCGATCGTATCAATCGGTTGTTTTTTGTGTTCCAAGACAAGATGTAATATCAGGCTAGATGTAGATCAAATCCAGATGAAGATTGGTTCATATATTGCACGCTTGCTTGGTAGATGTGATGTCTTCTCGAATGTTCATCGCGTACATTCAAATCCTAATATTCTGTCTACTTCCTATTTTTTAGAGAATGACACAACGTATCAAGTGTCTGAATCCCCGGTTTGAACTTAAAAAAAATTCCGGTTGAAGCTGAAAATACAGGTTAGATATATAACAAATCCCACACAACTTTACGACCCAGTCGAAGTTTTTTTTTAAAAAAAATAAAACAATCATTGAAGCAGACATTTAGTTTAAAAAATTTTAGAAATGCTATACAACACATGTGTTTTAGCAAAAAAAACACATATGGATTCTTTTTTTATCTCTCTCCCTCTCTCTTTCTCACCGGTGACCACCGGCGCCGGCGCCGGCGACCGGCGAGCTCGCCCCGGCACAGCGGTGGCGGCGGCGGATCTATGATTTGTCCTTCCATAGAAAAAAAAATTATGATCTGTGATCTGTGATCAGTGGAGGCTGGAGGATGAAGGTAGAAGAAGGATGGAGGTTGTTGGATCTTAATCTTATGGTATAAAAAAATTCATATGTTGAAACTATATAAAACACATAGTTATATAGTGCACATATTCAAAAATTTAACCAAGATTGAAGTTAAATGTTTTGAGGCCAGGCAATACGTTTTGGAAAGGGCACTGCACGCGCACGGTGAGCTCCCGATCTATGTTTGCTATTACAAGTTAGTACAACGTACTATAGTATATATATTAAAAAAATAGCACTGTAAAAGCCGAGCGATAGGAACATTTTGCAGGACGCGGAAATTCTGCCCTGCAGGGCATGTGCTCCTAGGCATGCGGCCGTTAGATGTTGTCTTGAGATCTGTGCCAACCTTTATAGCCCACTCGTATACTGCTCGTATTTTAGGCCCCCGTTTGGCTCCTCCGGGCTTCTCCACCAGGAGCCGTTTGGAGCCGCCGTTTTTTTCTCTCCCAAGGGTAAAATGAAACAACTCCACCGATGAAGCCCTCTAAAACGCCGCTCCTGCTCTCACATTTTTTAACTGCCCATCCAGCTTTGGGGTGGGAATGAGCCAAAATAGTAATTCCTCGGCTCCTCCTCTAGGCCCCTAAAATTTCATGCTCTCACGTGGCTAAGCCATTTTGGGGTAAAAGTTCCAACCAAACGGTTTACTAAAACCGCTTCAGCTCTACCCATGGAGCTGTTTTGAGTAGAGTGAAGTCTGAAAAAAAATGGCTTCACTAGTGAAGTGAAGCCCTGCCAATCGGGGCCTTATACTGGAACATTTTCTAAACGCCGTATTCTTTTCTGACACAAACCGACAACTTTTTCTTTCGCTCCTCCGTCTCACGACTCGCTCATCTTCCACCACTCGTTTGCTTCCCTTATTTTCTCTCTCCCAAGCGACGACGCCTCCTGCCATACTCGTCGCCGCCGCCGTTGTCCTTTTTCTCTCCCCACCGCCTTTCTCCTCTCTCTCGCCCGCTGCCGCTCCTCTCTCTCCCCCCGTCGCCGCTCCTCTCTCTCATCTCTCTCCGTCTCTCTCTCCGCCGCTCCTCTATGTCTCTCCATATTTTTTAACTGCCCATCCATTTTGATTTTTGGTTTTGTTCCCTCGATATTTTTCTTTTTCTTTCTTATATGCTAATAGATCTGTTTTTAGCATTTTGATTTGAAGGTATTGACCGCGGTGCCTTTTCGGTATGATTTGAAATATAGTTCATTTTGAAATAGTTTTTAACAGATCTGTACTTTTTTCTTGAACATTCAAACTAGTGGATGTAAGTTCAATGCCATCTCCACTAAGATTTATTTCTTGTATGGTCGTAGGTCTTTCAATTCGTGAGCTAGTTTATTTTGGTTATATTAAATGCAGGAATGCAGTGACAATTAATTGCATTTTGGTTTGATTTAATTGTACTAGTAACTTCTGGATAAAAATCTATATTACATATTTTGTGTACACATGTCTGACTGCAATGTATATTTCATTAATATGTACAGGTATATTTTTTTATTCCGGTTTCAATAATTATCTAGAAGTTAGCAGATACGTTATTATGTATTCATTCCTCTTCAGATCTAGTACTGCTTCCTATTCAGACCAGGTATTTGTCATTCACCAATTTCAGTTCTCTGTTGAATTATTTTTTCTCTTATTCGCAGAAGAACAGATAGTTCATTGCGATAAATTAGTTGATGATTACTACGGATTTGATTCTTATCAAATTTGGATTACATAGTATTTTACTGCATCATTACAGTTCATAAAAAAATGTTTTCTTTTTAACAAATATTCTAGGTACTACATTAGAATAAATGTTATGTCCCATTACTTAATTAAATGTCTACAGAGAAAATGTTCATGAGGCCTCTGCTTTCTACTGCTAGAAGATTTTAGTCTTGTCTGCCGTTACATCTGGATTCTAAACTTGTGATTATAAGAACTAGTGGTCATTCTGCTGCGTACATTATCATGTATTTGTTTCTATACAAATTAACCTGTTCTGAGTAAGAATTTACTATAGTTTGAAATTTTTAAGAGTTATAGAAGCTTTTACTGTTAATCACAGTTTGCAATTTTTTAATGTTATATAGAAGCTTTCATTTTTAATCACAGTGATCGTTTAGTCTAGTTTTCCATTTTTTTCCGGTTTTATAGACGCTTTCACTTTTAAATTTTAATTATAGTCCAGGTAACCTAATTTTTTGAAAGCACAGTAATTCTATTTCTATTTGTTAAGCTATAGTTGACAAAATATTTCTATTTTTGTAATGATTATTGTCTACCTTCTAATCCGTATCCTACTTTACTCAGATCCTTATATTTTATTGTCCTTAATCTCCTCACTTTATTCTTTATTCTATAGCAGCTTATGGTTCAGATCTACATATTCATTATGGACAAGGTTAGTATGATTTGTGCGAACTCTCATAAATTGCATTACATGTTGTCTTACTCTCACTATATAATTATAAACATCTTTTGAATACTTCTATTCCATGGTTGAAAATTATCATAGTAACATTTATATTCTTTTTCATGAACAGTCAAGCTGTCATTCTTCTTGTGTATCAAAGAGTTGTGCCACAAATTACACAGTTTTGGTTATAGTAGCACATGGCCTCAAGACACAGCTTACTTGGCCCAGACTACCCTTTTCAGTGGCATCCTAGTATTTAGTTTTAATCACAGGTGAGCTACTGTTACGGTTTAATTTTGTTTATGAGCCCTAGAATTTTAATTTTTAAAAACAATACAATGTAGCTCAACCTGCCAGCATCATGCTCATTTATACAGGACAATCAGAATTTATCTGTGTTTTTCTTTTTTGTCTCAATTCTACATATGCCTTCTTTAGCCTTTCTTTTCTGTCTAATACATATTCGAGATCAATTTTCTTATTCTAGTACTTCTTGGGTCTGCAACAAACTGAGAAACATTTAGCACTAAAGTACTCGCTAGCGGCAAGTTTTAGAATTAGAGACCTGTTAGATCTCTCATATTTTATAAAAAAAGGTTGCATCCAGAACTTTGCAGAGTTCATCTTGGTTTTCTTTAGACAAGGTGTCCTACTCATCTTTGTCTATCCTTCTATTCTAGGATTTATACTCAATAATATATTTGTCGGGTTGCAGTACTGCAGTACAAGATTTTTGTTCTGATTGTAGCTTCTATTTCTTTTCGATTCTGCCTGGCCTACAATTGAAATGGCAATAGATGTAGTGACTGCAATGAACTGATAGCGTTGGCCACTATGAGAACCCAAGAGTTATAAAAAGCTTAATTCAGCTGGCCTAATATTTTCTAGCTGAACCATGTTGAATTATGTTTAAGGTTTATTGTTTATTAAAAAAAGGTGAATGCAAGAATAGAATAGTTAGTGATGTGCACAAACAATATGCCAAGTGGGGAATACTGATTTTGGGCCATGCACAAATTCTACAATAGAATTATGTTCATTGTCTACCTTCTAGTTCATATCCTACTCTTCTAGGTTCATCCTTTTAGCCTATAGTCTCTCCTCTCTATTTTTCTTTATTATGTATGTTGAGCTATGATTCAAATTCAAGCTTGGGCCGAAGTGAAGCGGCCCATTAGCGTTAAGAGGGACTACACCATCTATTAGTTCCGTATTGCTAATAGACGAGGACGTGGGGTTTTTCCTCCCTATATATACGGACCACCTCCCTCATGAAAAGAGGCATCATAGACTTGTATACGGGAAGGCCCCTAGGTTAGAGTATCCCTAAATTGTAAATCTTCGATATTTGTAACCTCACCCGATATAGTGAAGATTTGCTGGTTGATGCCTGTGGTTTTTTCCCTTCCATATTGGGAGGGTTTTCCACGTTAAAATCTCGTGTCTCCTATGTTTGATCTATTGTTCGTCGTTTATATTGCCTATCATTTATAACAAGTGGTATCAGAGCTTGGTTTGACCTTAGGGTTTTCGCGATGGCATCGATGAAGTTTAATCTACCGCTGTTGGATTACAAGACGAGATTTGCACTGTGGCAAGTTAAGATGCGGGTGATTCTGGCACAATCTTCGGATCTTGATGAGCGCTGGACGGTTTTGGAGGAAAAGGGCAGAAGTCATGGACCGCTGAAGAGAAGCGGAAGGATCGTAAGGCTCTGTCTCTGATTCAACTTCATCTATATAATGATATTTTGCAAGAAGTGTTGCAGGAGAAAACTGTCGCAGAACTTTGGCTCAAGCTGGAATCGATCTGTATGTTTAAGGATCTAACCAGTAAGATGCACGTGAAGATGAAGTTGTTCATGCACAAGCTGCAAGAAGGTGGTTCGGTGATGAACCACTTATCGATCTTTAAGGAGATCGTTGCCGACCTAGTGTCGATGGAGGTAAAATATGATGATGAAGATTTAGCTCTTCTACTGTTATGCTCACTGCCTAATTCGTTTGCAAATTTTCGAGATACCATACTATTAAGCCGTGATGAACTAACTCTTGCGGAAGTATATGAGGCCCTCCAGACGAGGGAGAAGATGAAAGGTATGGTTTAGTCTGATGTGTCGTCCTTCAAGGGCGAAGTGTTGCAGGTTAGAGGCAGGCCCAAGCAGAAAACATACAACAACAACAATAATCGAGACAAGAGCAAGAATGATAAAGGTCATTCTAAGTCTAGAGGTAGGGGTAAGTTCTACAGGTATTGTAAGAAAGATACTCATGTCATTGAGGATTGTTGTAAGCTGCAGAATAAGGAAAAAATAAACGGTACATATAAACCGAAAAACAAATCCGATGGTGATGGTAAGGCCTCTGTTGTCTCCGCTGTTGATACTTCTGATTCAGGAGATGTTCTGGTTGTTTTTGCTGGTTGTGTTGCTGGTCATGATGAATGGATACTTGATTCTGCATGCTCGTTTCATATATGCTCTAACAGATATTGATTCAGTTCTTACGAGTCTATGCAGAGTGGAGATGTCGTGCGTATAGGAGATAACAACCCACGTGTGATTGTGGGTATTGGCTCCGTTCAGATCAAGATGCATGATGGCATGATACGCACACTGAAAGATGTGAGACACATACCAGGGATGGCCAGAAATCTTATCTCTCTCAGCACACTTGATGCCGAGGGATACAGACACTCCGGTTCAGGTGGAGTGTGTAAGGTATCAAAAGGTTCTCTCATTCATATGATAGGTGATATGAATTCAGCAAAGTTATATGTTCTTAGAGGAAGTACTTTACATGGTTCCGTCACTGCTGCTGCTATTTCTAATGATGAACCAAGTAAAACTAATCTCTGGCATATGCATCTTGGGCATATGAGTGAACTTGGTATGGCAGAATTGATCAAGAGAGACCTGTTGGATGACTGCACTATGGGTAAGATGAAGTTCTGTGAGCATTGTGTTTTTGGTAAGCACAAGAGGATAAAATTCAATGCATCTGTTTATACCACCAAAGGTACACTTGATTATGTACATGCTAATTTGTGGGGGCCGTCTCGTAAGCCCTCTTATGGTGGTGCTCGTTACATGCTTACCAATATTGATGATTACTCTAGAAAAGTGTGGCCTTACTTTCTAAAAAATAAAGATGATACTTTTGCTGCTTTTAAAGAGTGGAAAGTTATGATAGAAAGGCAAACTAAAAAGAAGGTAAAATTGTTTCGTATTGACGATGGCGGTAAATTCTGTTCGGATGCTTTTAATGATTATTGTAGGGAAGAAGACATTGTCAGGCACCACACCATCCCGTACACTCCTCAGCGGAATGGTGTGGCTGAGCGCATGAACCGAACCATCATCTCGAGGGCTCATTGTATGCTGTCCAATGCTCGAATGAACAGGCGTTTTTGGGCTGAGGATGCTAACACCGCCTGTTACTTGATCAACCGGTCACCTTCTATCCCACTTAATAAGAAAACTCCCATTGAGGTATGGTCTGGTATGACTGCTAATTATTCATAATTGAGAATTTTTGGTTGCACTGCTTATGCTCATATTGATAATGGAAAGCTAGAACCTAGAGCCATTAAGTGTTCGTTTCTTGGTTATGGTTCTGGAGTTAAAGGATATAAGTTATGGAATCCTAAAACTAAAAAGACTTTCATGAGCAGTAATATTGTTTTCAATGAATCTGTTATGTTTAACGACAACTTGTCCACAGATGTTTCACCAGTTGGTTCTGATGAGGAGCAGGAACATGTTAGCGTGCAGGTGGAGCACGTAGATGATCAGAAAACTGAAATTATTGATAACAATGTTCATGATATTGTTCAGCACTCACCTCCTGTTTTGCAGCCTCAAAATCAGTCTATTGCAGATCACAGAACAAAGAGGAGTTGTGGACCTCGTCCACATTTAATTGAGGAATGTGATATTGTTGACACAAAATGTGACGCACTGTGCCTCACACACAGCAAGCTGAAAAGCGTAGCTTCAATCGGGTTCCCGGGTGCTTTGTTATCCGGAAGCGTGCGGTCGGTTTGACTGAAAAAAAACTAACAAGGGATAGAACAATTAAATGTCAAACCGGAACATGTCGGGTAATACCGATGCCTCCTCATATCTGACCCTCTGAAGCCACTTACAACGACATACAGACTATAAAGAGTCATGCGCCAAACAAGTTTATAAACCATTCGCTAATCGTAAGATGAATGCACGTAAAGGCCTAATTGCCGAACACATGTACATGAGAAGACATGTTTGAACAAGTGAAATTAATTATGAATTAATGCATAGCCAAGCTCGACCATCCGACCGAGTTGGGATCCATGAAGAAGGAACGTGCAAATAAGCACGATTAAACCAATCTAAAACTCGCATCGCGCCACGACACCTAGTTCCGTCAAGGCTTAAACGTAATTATCATGCATGAACCCGCAACATGTGACAATCTAGATTAAAATAATTCAGCCATTACGCGTGTATTGTCTATTTGCGAAGGTAATACGAAAATAATGATCATTGAAGCGCGAATAAAACCATAAGAGGGGCGAACAATATTCGATCTAGATTGGGCGTAGTGTGTTACAAATATATAAAATATTTAAAACATGCAACACTGGATAACTTAATGAATCTATTTAGATTTTGCCATATCTAATAGAGCCGGTAACTATCTTGCTTTTACTAAGCATATCGAGCAAACACCTGCCGCACGGTATCTACTCATAAACGAAGCATAAGCAAAGACTTCTTGATTGTTAAGCAAAGATCCGCCGCACGATCATTGAAAAACAAACAAGACTACTTGCATCACGTTTAAATCCACCGCATGATACTAAACATGATAACAAGGTTGTCGGAACTTACGGAGGTCGACGGATCGATGACTCCTCTCGAAGAACTCGACGACACGACAAAAGGACTCGAAAGTTGGCACGGGGCCGGGTGTATTGATTTGGTTGTGAACCCCTATTACAATGGTCGAGGGTCAATATTTATACCCTAGACAAAACACGAGTCCTAGAGGACTACGATATACAAAGGAATCTTTAAATAAACTTGGAAACTCACGACTCCTTACCCTAAACTTTTAGAGTCCTTTACTATCACAACTTTCCCCTTTTCGATCGGTCTTGCCTGCCATCTTCTGTTATTCCCGAATGGAGTCACCGCCTTCTGGAGTAACCGACCGCAATGCATTTAGCCGACCGCTTGCTTTGTTTGCCGAATACCCTTCTTCCCGCATGTGGGTCCACCTGTCATCTTCCAGAATCGACCAAAATCCAGTGTTAACACATGCCCCCTCAATTTCGGGATAAAAGTTGTTTTATTCTGAAATTGAGCACAAGCTCTTTCATCCTCCTAGGTCATCACCGTTCAAAACCGCAGCCGCTTACGCCCAAAAATTCAAGCTTTCAAATAAACCTCGGACCTCCTTCAAATCTTCAATGGCGACCCGTGATGAAATCCCGAGGTAAACTTTACTCATATTCGGCAACTTTCATTTCATCCTCCGCTCCTCTTTGATTTACTCCCTTTGATTTCAATCATCTTCTAAAGGAATACAAGAGCCACTTTCGATTCCCTATCTCGCTAACCCCTCGACTCCTATTTCCTCGGCCCAATGGGAAATCCCGACCCTTCCGAAATTATTGAGAAGGAAACCCAAAGAATTCCTTTCAAGTCCAGGATCACCTCGTCAAACCGATGGCCAAACACGTTCAAGAATTGGCCATTTCCCCAATCACCGGATAAGCGAATCGGTATAGGAGAATCTTTGAGAAAAGCGGCAGCCATTTGGGAAAGTCGGGACATCGGTCATTGTCCGGAATTATCTTTAGCAGAGACACCGAGAACGATTCCCTTTGATAGCAGCTTCTCATTTTTGGTCCGACACTATCAATGCCTTCATCTTTGGTCATGGTATTATGACCATCACTCTAGCCGACGTATTCATGATGATCGGCTTGAATGTGTCATTGCCAAGATATCCTTATAAGTATAAAAGCAAAAGTAATCAAAGAGCCGTCGACTCTGGATGTGGATGGGTTAAACACATTCGTAACTACATGAATGCATCCGCACCGTCTCTCGACAAAAGAGTTGAAAGCCTTCATGAATATGTGGCTATGCGATTCATCTTCTCGTGGAAAATCCAATGAACCAACCTCGAACCACATGGTAATGGTGAAGACTTAGCTACGAGCACTTTCGGATCCCACTAGGCAAATATCTCTTAGGGTCATTTTACCATATGATGCATCGATTACTCTTCGATGCGCCAAGGTGGAGAAATCTCTTGTGTGAATGGTCCTCGGTGGCTAATTCAAATGTGGCTTCAGCTATATATGCATCAAATAACCTCTGTGAGCCTTTTCAATCTAAGTTTTCCTTCGATTAACTATGTGAAGGCAACACAAAAAGGTCAAGGCTTGTCGGACTTATGGGGAAGCAAAGATCATCCATAAGCATTGACATAGACATCGGTCATTTCTTCAAGCTATTTTTCAAAGGATTCGACAATGTGCTCTGGTTTCCTTACAGAGAAAATGAAAATCGACTTTGCCTCCGCAAGTTTAGCTATGAAATTGGTTGTTCAAAGCCAAGAATCCACGGAGATTTTCAACTCCTTCATCAAACCTTGCACCACCCAAACCTGAATTTCATCATGGGAGATTAGTACAATCCACCTATGAATTCTATTATCCAAACATGGTGGCGGACAATTAGGATGTGGCCAACTCGCCTCCAAAATTCCTCTTCTCAACAATCATAAAGTCAAGGGAAGTAATCACAGAAGAAGGAATGGAAGCCAAGAAGGTCTTTGAATTAGGATGGGAATTGCCAATATATGAACCATCTCCATTTGGGCTAATAGATGTTGCTCATTCCTCCTTTGTTTCTTGGTGGCAAGAATGGCATGCTCATATCTTCAATATATCAGTTCATCCTTTATGCAAAAACTCGCAACCTGATTTTGCTTCCGATAATTGAGGTAATTCCATTATGCCCATCATTTCTTGCTCTTGAATCCACTTCTTATTTTAACATCCGGTCATGTACAGGATCTTGAGTTTACTCCCCAACCAAAGCGATCCAATACTATTCGGGTTGGTCCCAAGCACCGCCTCGGGGTTTGATGCTCCAAACTTAAAGGAATTCATGAAAACTCACTGCAACTTTGGATTCAAAGACCTCTAAAGGCACTCATGAGAACTCCTGCTACTTCAAATTGCTTTGCATCTTCGAGAGGAAAAAGCAAAAGGAAAACACCGAAAGTTTTCTCTTACCCAAAAACCAAGGACTAAGAAAGTCGATCATCCCTTAAGGCATGAATCTTTTATTTCCTTATCAGTCAACAATCTCACTTAGCGATGGCCCGACTACCTCTATATTGCAGCCACAAGTCGAAATTCCCATCTTGGGCAATACCTCGGCGCCGCAGAGAACCAACCCCCAAAATTTCTCTCAAGATGAAGAAATTCATGATAACGAAATTTCAAAGGACTCATGAAGTCGAAAGTTCAAAGGCTCATAAACCTGATGAGACTATAGGTAACATTGTTCAACCAATTCTCTTTTCTTCTTTTTAATAACATCTATTCTCTTATGCTCATTATCATCTTCTTCACTCGAAAATAGATGAAATCTTAGATGAACCGGCAAGGAAACCTCTCCCGATCAAGCTCCAAACCTGTCCCCTCCTCAATCTTCACCAAGTTCCCAGTAAGCTGTGGTATAACCCATCCTCGATGATCAACCAAATTTCAAAGAGGTAATCTCTTGTTTTACACTATATTTTAACAAAATTACCCAACCGCTAACACCTTCCTTTTTCTCTTTTTTCTTTAGAAGAACATCACTAAGCCGACCACCATTTACTCCTTCTCTATTGAGGATTACATCATTGAGAAAGGTGAAGAGATTACTTCCCATCAAACCTTATCATTTGGAAAATCAAAGGGCCCGGCTAAAAGAGGTGATAATTACGCTAAACAAGAATACCTTCACCGTTCGGGATGCGGACCGGATAAAAGACCTCCTTGAACTCATTGATCAAGATATCCCTCTCGCTCTCAAGGCTCCCCTAGAATCTGCAGCCCATCTTGATGACCACTTAAGCTATGGTGAGAA